ATAGCCATTAGTATTGTTGTCTGCTTGATCAGTACAAGTAATAGCCATTAGTATTGTTGTCTGCTTGATCAGTACAAGTAATAGCCATTAGTATTGTTGTCTGCTTGATCAGTACAAGTAATAGCCATTAGTATTGTTGTCTGCTTGATCAACTAGAGCACTTATGATGGTTTCTTTCCTAAAAATGCTATAGTTGGAAGTGTAGATAAATAGTATCTTGGTCTTACATTTCCATTTTAGTTAGTTATATATTATTTGTTTTAAAAATCATATTCGAAAAGTTTAATGATTTTTATAAGTTTAACTTGTTGTCGCCTGAATTGTAAAACTGTATAAACAAGATGTCGTCATTCATATGTGCAAAGCGTTAGTGAAACGAGTCTCTGTGCAGGAGTCACCGTATGATAATAATAAAGTCCTGCAGGCACCAATTGAGGTATCAGTATAAATGGTAAAAGACAAAGAATTGGAAAAGAAAATTAAAATAAAACTACAGGTGAAGAGATAAAGATGTGAAATTCCTCATAGTAAAAAACAAGTTTCAAAAACTTCTACAAAAAGCTAAAAGGTATGTACGTATTTCAATTTCTCAATTTTAAACATTTCATTGCAGTGTACATTGATGATAATAGGTATAGTTAGTGATATAACAGAAAAAATGGAAAATAAAATATAAGTATTTACCTTAAAAAGCTTTTGATATTTATTTAGGTGGTTCTAGAGATTATGCAAATGAAATGTAAAACTGTAAGATAATAAATAGTATCTTTATACTTAATATAAAAATCACCTTGCAGATGAACCAGAGTCCGAGTGCAGATAACTACATTAAATAATGAATTTCTTAATTAGAAATAATAAAAAATTAAATCAAATATGAGAATATAGTTGACAAGAAAATAACATAGTATTTGTATTATAGATTAGAATACTTATACATAGTACAGGTTAATTTTTCATGTGCTTTATTAGTTTAGATATATAGATACATAACATACATCACATGGAAAATGTTAATAATAATATAATAATATATAGGAATTGCAGGATAAAAGTAGTGTTTTATTAAACCAATACTAAAAACACAAGATGATACCAAAATTAGTTCTCTGGAAGCTTCTCAATTGTAAGTAATCATATTTTTCCAAAACTATTTATATTTGGTGCACAATTTCATAACTGAAACATAATTTCATGATGTTACATTTCACAAGCAACTTACAAAAAAAAAAGCATTACCCATGAAAAACTGACAAAGGCCAAAGAAGAAACCTCACAAGAGTAGAGTTGAAACAACAAGACAATTCTATAACATGAAAAATGTTACCTTGAAAGAAGAAGAAATGGCATGTGGATGTCAGACTTAACATTAAGTAACTATGGTGATTTATCCAGTTATCCTAAAAACAGGGGGTTCTACCTCCATCACATTTTAAGTAATAATTCTTAGGAGGAGATCTATATAACTATAAAAGGAGAGGGGAAGAGTTCATACAAAAAAAGATTCTATTTTTTCTTGAAAAAGTCAAGTGAATGAAAAAGTAAGAATCACATTTAAAGCAACCAGTGGAGTTCCAAAAGAAAGATGGGATAAAAAATTGTGGAAATAAAGTAAGGGTACTACTAAGTTACATGTGGTGACTGGTGTGACACACATGATAGAACTTTAAAAGTTTAAATTAGATTTAAATATGATGGAATAATGGATATGATTCTTTGCAAAACTAAAGGCTAAAAGTTCTAAAAGAGCTAAGAGTCACATATGAATTACCTTATTACTATAAATAATTATGATACTTACTAAAGTACATAGAGTCTATCAAATGATATGATGCCTTCTGTTTTTGAGAGTTAGTTTAAGTGATAATATACTGAAGAGGAGAGAATTAACCAAACTGATATGATGCCTTCTGTTTTTGAGAGTTAGTTTAAGTGATAATATACTGAAGAGGATAGAATTAACCAAACTGATATGGTATGATACTAAAACAAGAATTCAACAAATGCATGAAATACAGTACTTAATACTAACTTGCAAGATAATGAAGTAGTGATTATGTCAAACAGTAAACATATTTAGTGTAGTGGAGAGAATTATTCAAACTAATGTACTAAGTTTACTTAACCCTATGTCTACCAGCTTCTTGGTTGTAAGTAGGTAACATCACTCTTGTCATATTTTGTTCCAACGATAAAACTAGTGGATGAAATTGTTTGAAATTTGACAAGAACTTTCATAAAAGCATGTAGTTTCAAGGAAATAAAACTTTAAATTTTGATTTCGTTCTACTATTTCTAATAAAAATTCATTATTTAATGTAGTTATTGGCACTTAGACTATAAATAGTTCACCTGCAAGATGATTTTCATGTTGAGTATAAAAATAATATTTATTATCTTACAGTTTTCACATATCACTTGCAAAATCTTGGGAACATGCTAAATGAATATGAAAAGTTTTTTGATGTAAATGTTTGTATTTTATTTTCCATTTTCTCTACTATATCACTAACTCTAGCTATTATCATCAACATACACTGCAATGAAATGTTTAAGATTAAGAAATGGAAATAGGTATTTCCATTTTTTCTCTTCAGTGACTAATCTTAAAATATCTTCTTTCGGTCATATGCGTAATTTCAAGTTTTTACATTTTCACAATTTTTTTGTTTTTAATGTTTTATTGTCCTTTCCAATTCTTTATTGTTTACTATTCATGTTGACACACTTCAATGGGTACCCACAGGTGAATAATGTTATGATCAGCAGAGAGTCCACTTTAGCCTAAGGCAAAATGTTTGCAGTCGCCTATTTTTATAACCCTTGACTAGCAAATTACTGAACAGAAAAAGTTAAATAATCATTAAACCTTTCAAATATGAATTTTGAAACACTAATAATACATAATTAACTAAATTATAAATGTAAAACCCAAATGCAATTTAACTGACAATCAAACTAATATGTATAAGGCAAATAAAAATAGTCAAGCTCTAGGGACACTGCTCCCAACAATTCACTAAGCTTAATTTCGACTTCTTTTGTAAAATGCATACATCACCTAAATTTCTTGCTATTGTCACAACATATAGCATAAAATATGCTCTTTTTATTGGTTATAAGCATGCCATTCATGTTAAATCTGTTGCTTAGCAACACAGCTTCTACTTTGAAAGTGGGTGTGGCTTATCTTTGACCAAGGAATTTTTACAATAGTTTCCTCCAGGACAAGTTCTTGGAATGTACTTGAATTACTGGTAAACAACCTACATACACCATATTTGAATGTCTGAAAAAAAACATCTACATTACACTCACAGTTACCAGCTCTTAAAGTTGAGATTTGTAACTGCAAGCATGTTACATGACAACAAAAACTACAGTGTTAATTATTTTTTTAGAGGTTTCTTTTGAAATAAAAGAATAAAAACTTAAATAATATAAAAATTTTAATTATAATATACTTGATAATAATAATTTCATTAAAATACATTGATAATAAAGTAGTTTCATTAAATTTTGAATATAATGCAGTAACATGCAAAGAAAGGAATTTAAAAATGGCACCAGTTGGCATAGGGTTAATGAGCTGTAGAGAATCAGACAACTTAACATAGAATCTTTCTAAACTAAAAATATTTAGCTAAAATATTCAGGCAGGCAATAAGTGAAAGGGAATAATTATCTAAGCTATTATCATACCCACATAAATGTGTTAGACAAAGAAATCACAATAGTAATTTTTTAGTGTTTTTTTTATTTTTTATATGTACATGCCTATTATAGGCTTCACTTTGAAAACTTGTTATACACACACTTACCATTCTGAAGAGTTTTTAAATGTTTCTCATAAAATTCATTTTCTTTCAGGGTCACTTCAGCACATAAGGCACATAAACGTACTGGATCAACAAAGCACATCCGCTGAAGAGCCAGTTTTTTCCCACAACAATTACCACAAAAGATTTTACCACATCTGCGACAATGATGCTACAGAGAATAGTAAAAACAAATATTCTAGTTTACTGTCATTTTAATAAAAAAACATGCAATTTCTTTCAACAAAGATTTAGGTACTGCACTCAGCTATCTCACAATGTACGTTTTTTATGGAAATGTGCAACCTCTACTTCTGGATTTGTTGAATAATGTTTTGAACTTCTATGTGGAGTCCCAGCATATTAATAAAGCTCAAGATAGTGTCAAACAAAAAAATAAAATCCATGAGAAATAGAAGATGCACAGAAAAGTATTTACTATAAGGCAATAATAAATAAAAACACCTACTGTTACATTAGATATCTACAAGTTAAAAAAGATTTAAATTTCTGGTCACTTTTTGTAATAATGTTTGTTTTTGTAAAAGTAACAATTTATTTTAGTAATGTACAAGTTTTTCAAGTAGCTAAAACAAGATGGGCAATCTAAACCAAACCAAACTTTATATTAGTAGTATTCTTACATCTTAATTTTACATGATAAGCAATAGATTTTTAAAATTTTTATACGAAACTAAAATAAAGGCTAGAATAGGTAAAAATATCCATAACAACATCTTTCTTTTTTTTGGGGGGGGGGGCTAAAAATTGTTTCCTTTATTATCATATACTTTTGGTGTAATCCAAAAATTACATATCTTTCATTTATTGAATGGGGCTTTTGCCTGTCTGTCATGTATCTAAACTTCAGAATACTTTTTATAAAATTCCTGCAATCAGATGATTAACATTGTTAATTAAATTCTTATTAGATTAGGGGAAAATAAAACTCAAAAAGATGAATTATAAATTGGTTTTAAGGTAGAAAACAGAGTTGTGATAAACAGGCACCATTCTAAATTGGGAAAATGTGACTAGTGAAGTCTCTCGAGGATCTGTCTCAACACCTTTGTTGTTTATTATCTATATCAATAATATGAACAGTAAGACTTCTAAATTGCTGGATAAAGCTGATTCTTGGGAAAATGCTTCCCTAATGAAGACAGACTTTGACAGCTTTACTAAAAGGGTTAATCTGTGGAAAATGAGTTTCAACATTGAAATATTTAAAGTGATGGAAATTTGGAAATATTATATTTTATATTCAGGAGGAGTATTTGTTTTGTGAAGAGTGAAAAAGATTTGGGTGTGATGACTGATAAGAGCCTCAAGCCTTCAGCTGAATGTTTGGAAGTGGTAAAAAGGGCAAACAGGATTCTGGGATCTATTTACCAAACTTTTGACTTCAGAAGTTAGGAAGTTATGATCACTTTATACAGAACTATGGTAAGGTCACATTTTGGGTATCATGTTCAATTTTGGTTACCTTATCAGAGAAGAGATTGATTTGTTTGAAACAGTTTCAGAGACAGGTTGTTAAAATTATGACTAGTTTGAAGTATTTAAGCCATAAAGACAGACTCAAAGACTTCTCTGAAGTGTAGTACTAGATGTTACCTGATTCAGATATTTAAAATCATTAAGGACTTGGATTAACTGCTCTTTGGAGTATTTTTGTGGACTGATGGAATAACAAGGTTGGAGATAAAATCCCATATATTAAAAAAAATAAATGCAAGATAACCTAACGAAGCTCAGGTCCAGGATGATTATTACCAAATATTTTCCTCTGCTGGAATTCATAACTTGTGAAATAATTTGTCAAATGATGTAAGTAGTTTGAATTTCATCGATATAAGAGAATATGCTTAAGTTGAGATAACCTGGATTATCCAAATGTGGTCCTGTTATCTAGTTTTTCCTTTATTATTATGTAAATGAAAATACACATCTCAACATTTTGGCCCTTTAAATGGTAAAGGTATGACAGATCTTTAGCAACCTTTTTCAAAGATGTGATCAATATTCTTGGGCATATTAGCACATCACTTGAGACAAAGTACACACAAAAATAACCACAACAAATTGTAAAAAAGACTATAACCTAAGGTTAATTAATCCATGTGTTGATTCAATGAATTTAAACAAATAATTTTTTTATACATTATATGAAATAGAATGGCATCAACTTACCCGTCGAGTTAGAAAATCAAACTTGATTTTACATTTAATACAAGCTTGTTTCTGTAAAACAAACAAAAGAAATTTATCAACATTCTATTAATAAAATGTACAAGCAACAGCAAAACAACAAATTTGATATTAATTGGTAATAACACAATAAAAGTAGGTTTTGCTAAATGAGTAACAAAAGCAAATACAAACTTTCCATGATAATTTTACATATGACATACAATTAACCCTTTAGTTACTGAACTTTTCTGCCTTCCTTCAAACTGACATGCTAGTTCAGAATAGAATTGAGTCAGTTATTTCAAAAAAATGCAATAGAATGTACAAAAGTACTCTTTACTGAGAAAAAAAAAACACACCATCATGTTTTACTGACTAACCATGGTAATACACTTTTTCAATGTACATTTACTGTCTTTATTTTCTGGCCAAAATTGATCTTTAACCTTTTAGCCATTAAAAAATTACATGAGAACTTTCAGATAAATCTTATAACTAGGTTAAAATTAGAAAACTAGCTTAACAGAAAAAAAGTGACCATTATATCTATAGTAAAGTATATGCAATATCCAACATCACTCACTTCTACAGGCACTAAAAGAAGAGAATGCTCCATGGTAACAGCAACTACACTACCAAGATGCTCTAATGTCCTGTACTTTAGAACTTGGCAAACAAACTCTAGTCCTAGTTTTTCTATGTTCCCCACTACAAGTAAATATCAGTATACCTAATAATATGAATCCTGCACTATGTAAGTCTCTTGATCATCTTGAATGCTAACTAAACATTTGTTTCTATAGCTCATTTTTTTTCACTACTACATACCTTTGTCAATACAGCACTTTCATTATCACTCACCCACAAGGCAACCTTTAACTCTATCCAATTCTTGTCTTGCTTTCTTAATTTCTTCTCAATCTGCTATCCCCCCTAACAGTACTATCTTCCTGAAAGCTGTTTCCTATTCACCCTCGGAACAAGCAGTCTTTGAAAATACACTTTATCCTTCTGAGCCACTTGAAAACCACAATAAAGTCCACATATTCCAATCTTGGCAACTATTTCATCCTACAACTTCCACCTCTGAACAAAAGCATTTAGCTCTAACCATATTAAAGTTCACTAGTCTTTATTATCTATTTATTATTCTACCCACTAAATATTCATATAGTAAATGAAAATTAAGCTAGTTTAAAGTTAATAGGTTAAACTGTAGACAAACCTGACACTATAATCCTATAATCAACTAATTCTAATACTATTAGCCTTTTCTGGAGTTGAAAAGGTGTCAATATCCTTTGATTTTGTTCTTTCTGAAATGCTTAACCAATCACATGAAATTTAGAAAAAAACTTTCTAAATAGTATCTGGATTTGACTCAAAAAATCTGATTTAGTTTTCTATCAATTTTCTGTTGTGAACTTTCAAAAATTTTGCTTGGAGACACTGTCTTAATAAAACATTAAGCAGGAGTGCAAGTAAATAGTCTGGGGCTAAGGGTCACAAGACTTCTAATATAAGTAAATTTAGGGTGCAGCTTATTGTTTACCCAGTCCAGGCACTATTTTCTCTTCTTAGCACTCTAACCTTTCCTTAGTATTAGTACTTAGTATTTGAGAGTTACAAGAGTGGCAGGCTTGTGTTGGCCATGAGTTAGTATCATAATAAAATTTCATCCTATTTGCCCAGAATGCACTAGGCTTAGCATAAGTACTGTCAGTGCTGGCAGAAATATTATGCTTACAACTAACAAAAATATTATTAGTATGGTTCAAGGCTATTTGCTTGCACTGGGGTACCAAATGAAAATCTGGCTATTTTCCTAGTAGCTGTTTATCAATTCAGAGATTAGCTAATCACAGAACAAACTGAAGAATAGTGATGAGTAACAATTTTATCTTACTGAATAAGAATTCACACTTTCAGCACAGGCTTGGTCCCTCGGACAGACCTCATAACCATTTTGTGCTTGTTATAGTTTTCATGCTATAACTTTTAAATTAGTAAGTGAATGTTAACGAAATAGACATAAATTATACATCTTTCATTCTAGAATGAA